GCCCGCGTCGCGTTTTACCTCTCACCGTCTACGGCATGAAAAGGACGCAGTGCCGGTCTGAACTCGCGGTCAGGTAAAACTGATTTTTTCTCTCTTCCCAGAAACTTCCCGAGCGACATATTCCGTGACATTATGCATCTGTAAAATAGGAGAATATATAATACATACTATACCTATATATCTCTCATCATTGTATATATATATATCAATCTTATATATCTCGTGCCCTCACCTCGAGTCCTGCACCGCTTATCGAAGATGAATGAGTCGTCGCTGAGGTCGGGGACCTTCGGCAAGTTTTTGGAGCACTGCTGCGTGCCAAACCTCCGCCCTTGCGCGAACCGCCATGGCTGGCCTTACGACTCATGCCTGGACTGTACAGGTCAGCCCATCTGAACAACACAAGTAAACACAGCTCACGACTTATTACATGGCCTGGGCACAATACCGCCAACAGGAAAGCCTACACAATGAGACTGTAATGCGGGAAGCCTACTTAAGAGCCTGTATGTATATTCAGCTAATACGCTACACAATAGAATAGCATAGCGGTCCATAAACTAGCACACCCACCCCTATAATATATACATCCCGCTATATATATCTGATGTTTCTTCGCAATGGTCCAAGATAGGGCTGTAAAATTCATTTGCTTGTGTGCTGTTGTCAGTTATGCACGTTATGATTAAGCACCTAGGTGGCCTTATGCGTCTGACCTCCAACGCGCCAGTGTGCTATTATACATATGATGATGATGATGATGATGATAATATACATTGTATAGAGAGAGGATCCTTGGTGGCTGGTGGTATTGGAAGCGTACTGGGGTTTAATTATACCTACACTGCTCTAAGGACGTCTCAGTGGTGGCGTTTACTGCTGCGGTGCTTGCGTTTTATGCGCTTGTATTAGCAATTATATATGGTATATTATGTCGTGTGCATTTATACTTATACTGCCAATCGGAAGACCTTGCAATTGAGAAAATTTTCTTTTTTATGACCTTAATAATGTTTTGAGGACAGAAAACGTTTTTTTCATTCTAGAACGTTTGTGGTGGCAGTTATTGGCATGACCATTGGCGTGTGCCTAAATTTTCTTGTTTCCGTGGTTAGATGCCCTCGTGTGGGCCCCAAAGGTCACTCACTGTGAGTCATTCGGCACTATATTAAAATTAATGTCTCTTTGTGTTAAATAGTAGTTTTGATTTATTTTGCTATTTTCGTGTTCGGACGTTTGTAGCTCATGCTCGTGTTAATTAACCTGTAATCGATGATATTAGAAATAGTCACAGACGTTTATGACATTTCGCGCACCTACTGCATTAACATGATGCCATGATGTACTTCATAGACGATACCGAGACTCAATAGGGGCACATGTGCGCTTCTGTGTGGTTAGTTGACGTTTTAAGCTAATTAGCACATCTCAACATCATCTCTCTCTCTCTTTCTCATTTATTCCTACAGGCAAAGCGTTATGACATTGATAAGGTAATTCGCATGCGAAGCAATTTATGAAATTGTGCCCCGTCTGAGGTGTTGAGTGACCTCGCGGCATTTTTCGTATGCATGGATAATATAATATGGCGGCATGATATGAAGATCGTGCCGCCTGGCACCAGAGCAGAGAACTATTACAACAAGCATGCCATAACGCACGTTAAAATGCACGTTAGCAAGTTCCAACAGCTAGCTTTAGGGCAGGTAGCTCTAGTACTATAGGCCTGTGGCAACAAGGGCTGTAGTACTGGAGCGCAGTAGCTTTAGAGTTTGACGAGCGAAAGGGTGCGTCGGTAGATGTGCTGACTTCGCAGATACGCAGTTATGCGTAGGCGGGGTCGGTCGGCTCTCTGAGGCCTCAAGAGGCAATCGCTCATGTATTATGAATATAAAGTGTGCAGCTACGGTTATTACATGTATGCATGCCTGCGTGCGTGCGGCGTAGACAGTACACTGCCTGTAGATTGCATCTACGTGAGAATGCGTGCCTATACATCGCCGCACAGGTCGCTCTCTCTCACTCCCCCTCCTCCTCCGCCCAACATGCGCACGCTATTACCTGATGATCAGCATGGTTCCTAATAGCAGTGCATACCTGTACAGGTAGCAGATTCACTCTGTTCTCTGCGTGTCAAACTATGGCGAGTTAGCTTTGAGAGTGCCCTATAGATATACTGAAGCTTAGCGTGAACACCGCCACTTGGGACGTTTCAATAATTGTGTGTTGCAGAGCAGCATTTGAACAGCATTAACAGGAAATTATATTGGCAAAAGGGAGTAGAGAAACATTTGACTAGACTTTTGTAATAAATACATTTCGTGTTTATTTACTATCATTTTATTATTGAAACGTTCCTGTGAGTGTGGATGGCGGTAATGCATGCGTGTGTGTAATAGAGTCCCGTCTATATACTGACACTCTAGGGTCTATATAATGTAGGCACTGCTGGCCCTCTGCTTCATCAGTGTGTATATATGTACGGTCTGCATGCTTGCGGTTTGCTGGCGAGGAATGCGTGCATGCGTCAGTCACAACAAGCATTGTTATCCGCCGATTCTTCTTCTACTGCTGATAGAAGGCGGATAGATGCCGCGTACAGTGAAGCGAACTGAACAGCGTGGCAAATAATTTATGTATGTAGGTGAACATCGGTAGACACAAACTGCATGCTTTCCCCTGCATGCTAAGCAGGGCAGAATAACAACATTTTTAGCGTCTTATTATAATGGTGAATCGAGTTTGACGAAGAAAAAAACACGTTGATTGTGTAGTTCGTTCGCAACGGTAGCCTATCTTTAGCCATCTGCGCGCGTGGCACATTTACGGCTGCTATTTTGGTCATAGTGTGTCCTTCTAGGCACGTAGACGTGTGAACTACATTGCTGCAGTATCATAGTAACGATAACAATATACTTTGTGTAATAATCATTAAATCTCGCGAGGTGATCTAAAAAAAAAATAAAAAAAAATAGTTATAAACAAACTAAATCTAAACTCCTGCATTTTAGTGGGTGACGACTGGTACGGAATGCCATGACAAGTTGATAGCGCCAATTCGAAAGCTCTTATTTGCTTCATGTTGCACCCTCATTTGATAAAATCTAGAGAAATGTTAAAAGCAGTGTTGTCTTACATCTGTGCCTGTTTACTATTACAGTTCTCCAAGACAACAGACAGACAAGTAAAGAAACTTGAATTTCATCTGTCTAAGGTAGGGTTCTCCATATTATCTATGAACAAATACCCGAGACCTTTCTGCTAAATTCTATATAGCCTCTGTATGAATCATAAATACCCATCCACTTGGAACTGTACATATTTAAAAAGGGTATGGCATCTGTATTCGAAATCACATTGGTATCTTCTTGTCGTTGCAGGTTGAAGAATTGAGAGACAACTACATTTTACAGCAGAAACTAAGAGATGGTGAGTGCATAAAAGGTCGCCGTTAAAGGTCGTTGCTCGACGAATTTTCCCATCCTTACACTACCACCATCTGTGTTGTCGGCACAACAAAGTATTCTTAAACTACAAGCAAACTGCTGTGCCTGCAGGAACATTGTCAGCTAATGTCTAGTAGAATGATGATAAATTGTCGGACAGTTTTTCCTGTGACGGTAGCGTTCCACGTACACAGCGTTCTCCTTACATTGATGAGCCTTTGCTTGTCTAGACTGACCCCGAAAATGCAAAGGGGCAATCTCAACCGACGAGCGTTTAAGTGTGTTTTCTGTCCGTCTTTAAATCGGATGCGCTATTTTAATGGCTGGACATTAGTGGCTGGCCCCAGTGGGCAGGCCCAGAGATACATTTTTTCTCGACGTCTGTAAAGTATGATGTCGTTTAAAAAACAAAACACGTTTCATGGTGCCTGCACATACTTTCTGCGCATGCACTACGAAATTTGACCGAATCGCAGGTCCGGCACATTCGGCTGATTGTTCAGTAGGGGTTGAAATCTCTCGATCAAAAAAGGCATTGATGTGATGCAGTGAAAAAAATACACGGGGGCTCGGGGCGATTTAGCCCCCGAAATGCCAAAAAGAGCCCCGGAAATGCCAAAAAGAGCCCCCGGAAATTTGCATAGAGTTCAATGCAAACCAAATTTTAGAGTGCTATTTTCATGCACGCGAGCTTGAAAAGTAGCTCCCGAAAAATAAATTATATTTTTTTCCCTGATGTGATGTATAATGCCGAATGCTAAATTTCCTATCCTTATTGTATGTATTACATTTCTGCAGATCTCCCCAGTTCACCATATTCCAATTATTGTATTTAATGCCCATGACTAAGCGAATTTAAACTTGGTGTATTGATCAGTGTAATTGTCAATACAATGTATACCTCTCCAAAAAATCGCCGTGAAAGAGGACAGATTTAGTTAGTAAAACACGAGAACGTGCACACATTGCCAAGCTGCGACTGACAATGCTGATAGCGATATTCAATAGCGAACACGAGATCCCATCGCTTCGTGAAAACCTGATGCGGTTGTTAGCCTAAGGGATGTCGTTGTCAGGATGGCTTCGTGTAAGTTTGACGTGACAATAAGACAGTTGAAAAGGGATGTGCTGTTGGCTGTCGAGATTCCAGGCGCTCGATGATTCTGCCATAATGAGGAAAAACCGGCAAGAGTCTTGTGCGATATTTGACACGGTTGAAAATGACCTTTGACAATTCTGCAAGGTCACAGTCGCCATGCGGCACCACACATAATAACTGCATGTTTGTTCAAGGAAGTGTTTAACAGATGTTGTTAAAACATTTTTGTTTAAAGCCCATGTGAACCATGCTTCGAGAAATGACTTCTTAAAACTACGTCATCCGTGTGACGTCACACGAGACGCGATTTTTAAATAGTTCCCTTACAAAATCGCGTTAAAAATTCGTTTAGAGTATTTAATAAAAAATTGTACCAATGCGTATAGTTGAAAAAATAACATATTTACACATTATGCTCCTGCTGCTTTGCTTAGTACATGCGTGTGCCTGCGAAGGAACAAGATTGACATTATGCTGGAAGATGTACGCAGCTTGAGAGAGAAGGAAAGCCTGGACTCGTCTCAGGTAGGTTGCGTTTGCGGAAATATATTCGTACGTAGTTGTTTCATATATAGGACCAGACAATGGAAAATCTCCTAGAATGCCCCCTATTACCAGAGCCCTGTAGACCTGGATACTTTAAGGCTTTCAACCACAGGTACCAGGTGCCTGTGTGCTACAGTGACCAGGTCGAGTGTAGTGTAGTGACCTGAGAAGAAGTTGTTTCATAGAGGGGGAAACTGTCTCAATAACTCGCATTACTTGAGAGATGACAAAAAAATGGGTTATGGAAGAGCTAATGTGTTCAGGAGTGTCATAATATATAGACTCATATAATAGACTCATAATATAGTCTATATTATGACAGTCGTGATGTGTTGGCAACATATTAGCCGTTCCATAACCCAACGCGGGCACTCGCGGTTTCGTGCGCCTGCTTATCTACGAGGAAGAGTTTGCGCTTCATCTCATTAGCTGACTGCTTTACATAGCCGCTCATTAACTCACTGCCAGCAGCAGTAGTAGTAGCAGCAGCAGTAACAGCAACAGCAGCAGCAGTAATAACATCAACAACAACAGCAGCAGCAGTAGTAGTAGTAGTAGTAGTAGTCATAAGCAGACACAGCGCGCAGTAACAGCAAGCAACAAACGAAGCAAGCAGCAGGGCAGCAGGCAGCAAGCAGCAGCAGCAGCAGTACCGGACCACCAACAGCAAGCACAGGTAGAACAACAACAGCAGTGCAGTAGGCAGTCAGCAGCAGTAACAACATACAACAACAACAGCAGGGCAGAGTAAGCATGCAACAACAACAAACAAAAACAACAACAACAACGACGAAGACGATGTCAGGCAGGCAGCAAGCAAAGCAAACAACAAC